TCTTTAACATTATGAGAACTTAACAGCTGAATTAATTTAAAGACACTAGGCCTAGTATAATAATACTTTTTCAAAAATTTCTTTCTTATATCAATATACAATGGACATTTCAAAATAAAATGAAATTCATCTTCTATATCATGGAGATTACAACATGTACATAATCTATCATTTTTAGGTACGTTATGGTGTCGACCTGTTTCAATTTTCAAAGTGTGATTAGATAACCTGAATTTTGTTAATAGCTGTCTTAATTTTTTGTCAATAGGTTTTGTTAAATACCATTGCAAACAGAAATTGTCAATTAAATTTTGATATAAATTACACTTTGAAGAGTTTGATATATTTTCTAATATAGCTTGCCTAGAAACATCTAACAGTCGTTGTTTTATAATGAGATAAGATCTATCATTTAAATTATCTTCTGTCCAAAGTTGACCTAGACCTAAAAGGGACAATTCTTTTTTAATTTGTAAAATCCATTTGTCATTATGTAATACCATGCTTTCATAACAGGACTTAAGAATGCAATTTTCAGTTGTTCTCAGTTTGATCCAATATTTGAATATTCTTAATTTCATTGTAACTGCTAATGGAAAACGCCCGAGCTCTGAATAAATCAAACTGTTTGAGGTTTTCTTCCCCACACCTAGAGTATTTTTACAGAAATTTAAATGTACCTTTTCTACGTCAGAACATTTATGAAAACCCCATATCTCAGTTCCATAAAGTAATACGCTACATACATATGTATCAAAAATTGAACATAGAGTTTCTACATTAAATTCATACCTCTTTAATTTACTTGAAATAGCAAACATAGCTTTTCTTCCTTGTTCAGCAGCATGCTTCTGCGTTTTTAAAAATTTCCCATTAAAGTTAAATAAAATACCTAGATATTTAAATTCATTCACAATTTCTAATTCAGCATTATTATAGACCCAGGATTCGTTATTGCGTAATTTACCACCATTTCTAAAGACAACAATCTTTGTTTTTGTTACATTAACAGAAAGGCTCCATTCTTCAGTATAATTGTACAGTGTGTTTAACATTTTTTGTAAGCCTTCTGGAGATTCAGCAAAAATAACCATGTCGTCTGCATACATAAGTATGAATAAATTTAACATCTGTAAATCAATATATGGGCAGTTATCTGATATAAAACCAACCTCGAAATCATTTACATATAGTGAAAATAATATTGGTGATAATGTTTCCCCTTGCATTAAACCTATATCATTGTGGAAGTAATCACTGAGGAAACCATTGTATTTAACACAACTTTTAACATTATTGTATAGGGATTTGATTATCTTTAACATTTTACCTTGGATGCCTAAATGAAATAATTTTTGCCATAATTTTATCCTATCAACAGAATCAAATGCATTTTGAAAGTCAACAAAACAGCAATATAATCTTTTCTTAGTAGAAAGGTACTTATTTATAAGAGATTGCAGAACAAAAATAGCATCAGTTGTTGACATTCCTTTACGAAACCCAAATTGTGCATCCGTCAATATATCATAGGAGTGCTCCCATTCCAGTATCCTATTGTTTAGAACACTTGTAAATAATTTACCAAAACAGCTTACAATAGATATACCACGATAATTGTTAACATCATTCTTATCTCCTTTTTTAAACAATGGAGTAATGGAACATTTTGACCATGATTCAGGGTAAAAACCAGAGTTAAAAATATTATTAAAGAGTTTATGTAGCAGCGGGAGCAATTCGTCGCGGCATTTCATAAACAGTTCGTTAACAATACAATCTTCTCCACAACTTTTATTTGTTTTTAACTTTTTAATTGCTGTGCATATTTCTTCGTAACTGATCTCTGTATCCAACTCGTCGTATACAGCATCCGAATAGAATTCTTTTTTCAAGTTGTCGCCCGTGTTAGAACCAAGATTTTTAAAATGAGTGAAGAAATCTTCTAAATTTAAATTACAATCAACATGGTTTGTCTTTTTTGCTTTAAAAAGTTTAAAGAATTGTTTTGGGTTCCGTTTCTTCAAAAAAGTAAGCATATCGCCCTCATGGCGTTTGTACTGCCGTTTAAGTTTATTTTCAAATTTTGTGTAAGTTTGTTTGGCGTTTGAAAGAACCTCTCTATTTTCTGATGTTTTATTTGCATTGAACACATTTAGTTTTTGTTTGTACTCATTATAAAGATGTTTACACTTATCGTTAAACCATGGTTTATCCTCATATTCTTTAGATAATTTTTTTGTACTAATGCCTTGCTGTGGGTTAGATTCACGAACATCACAGAAAGGGAGTACGCAAGTATTTAATAATTCACAGAAGCTATCAACACAAGAGTTAACATTCCATGTAATGGCCGGGAACATCGGGAAAAGCCGAAGACAATCTAGTGTGTATATCACAGTCAAACAAAAAATATGAAAAACTTCAGTCAGCATTGGACCTACTGTCAGGTTGTATTTGCTGACAAGGTCATGGTATCGACCATAAAACTTGCGAAACTGTAGATATCTTTGTAACTTGTATATCAATGGCTTGAACTTCAAAATGTGTCTCCACAGTATGAATTAAATTTACATAATATGTAATCAACATTTAAAACAGTTTGAGCCAATTGCTATAGAATATAAGATCTTTAAGATCAATTGAATTGGTATCCTAAACTCTTTTGGCTTTTTAAAATAAATTAGAATAAATACAAAGGCGGAGTTTTGTTCGAATTGCATTAAAAGTTTAAATTCAACTTGATGAATGAAATTTAAGATTGAGAATCTGGTAGACCTGTCCTGATGAATAACAATACATGTTATGAATTTCGTATATGCGGGCTTAGATTTCCTTTCCTCTACTTAATTTAACCATAGTTATGGTGGTATATTTATGCCATCCACATAATTTTTTGTTAACATAAGATATCACGTCAAGTCAAGATAACTATCGCGTCAAGTCTTGATAACTTTCTGGTTTGTCGACAAACACCGACTTTATATCTTGTCAAGTCAAGATAAGCTACAAGTAGAGCTTTTTAAAAAAGCTTACCGTCTTTAGCAACAATTTTAAATAGTAAACAGGTCTACACTTATCAGGCCGTATAATTCTTTTGAATTTCTTGATTTTGTATTTCTAAATTAGCTTTTTACGGGCATTAGCCCTACCACGGTTGTCGCTCGGTCATCTCCGTAAACTGGCCGAGAGCTTTCGGCAAAACTCGGTTGATTCCCATTCTCTCTTCAAACAAGACAGGGGAAAAGAATAATAACAAATTGTAAAGCCTGCAAGCAATAACTATCAAATTTTATTTATAATGAAATTATTGCTATAAAAAATATCATGTTATTGAGAAATAATTACTGCTGATTTTGTTGTTCGTTTTGTCATTTTTTTAAGATTGGAAATCTTGCAAAATTGTTAAGTCGTACGAAAAATAGATCATCAGAAAGTTATCTCCCTTGCCTTGAACAGCATTTCAACCAATGAAATAATTGAAAATTTTCTCATCATGCAATTTCTACCAATCACAAAAGAGAGGAAGTGCATAGTCCGAAGACTGTAAAAAACTTCAACTATACAATACCGTCTTCCAAGGAAGACGGTAATCACGTTTTGTTGCAATAGCTATCTTGGCATGACGAGATAACTTTAAATCGCGATACCAGATAAATTATCTTGTTTTGTCGAGATAGCTATCGCAAAAATACGATAGCTTATCTTGACTTGACAAGATAAAATCTGTATTTGACCACAAACCAGAAAGTTATCAAGACTTGACGCGATAGTTATCTTGACTTGACGTGATATCTTATGTTGACAAAATATTATGTGGATGGCATAAATATGCCACCATACATAGTTAATATTCAATAGTTTGTGGAGAAAGATATGCTTAAATTAAGACATACCGTTATGATATATCTGAAGTTTATAGACGGTTACTCTAACCCACAGGGGCCAGTAACATGCTAAATTTGAATTTACGTATTGACTATATATATACAAAAAAAGCTTTTTTTGTATATATATAGTCAATACGTAAATTCAAATTTAGCATGTTACTGGCCCCTGTGCTCTAACCTATCCTCAAGAAACATGAATGTCCTGGATTGAATATATTTGTGAAGATCACCCCAGTAATTCCCGTATTCTGAATGGTGAAAATGTTATCATGGTTCAATATTTTTTTATCAAAGTTTATTGCAATATCGGAAGTTTGAGAGACGTTACACAAAAATATGATTTTGAAAAGAAAGTGAAAACTATTATTAAAAATGCTAAATTGTCTGGTAATAAAAATTAATAATATTTGTTTTGGAACATTTCTTTTTTATTTCAAGAGGAATAACTCCGTTTTCCTCAACTTGATAAAAAAAGTTACCGTAGAACTCCAAATTATGGGAGACACGAAAGCAAATATTTCTATCATTGAAAAAATTATGCATACACTTGCATTAATTGGAGTATTTTATTATTTTATAGCTGTTTCTCAATGAAGTGTTACTATGTCATTGTAATTATGTTACTTAAATATTACAAGTTTTGGCAAGTTTTCCAATATAATATTTTTTCGTGTGCATGAAACTATTCTGTTGTAGAAAGCTAACCAAACTGGATAAAAATCTACACGTAAGATATTTGGATCTGTTAAACAATTCCCGTAGACTATACACGCCAAATAAGTCCATCTTTATAGCAAAAAAATGTCGCAACTGATTTCCGTTTGCTTGTTTCTTGGTTTCTGTTTTCTTTTGATCGAGATTCGGCTTTTTTTTTGTTTTTATAAACAACCATGAATTATATTGTTTGTTAACAGAAAATTCAAGACCTTCTTTTTGCATGAAAAGAAATAAGAAGGCCTTTAAAAATCATTTTAAGCGAATCGACACTCTAAAAAAGTATTACCATGCCTGTAAAATTTCTCTTTCTTCTCAACAGTTTACTTAATATTCTGTTTCAATGCGTCATTTAAAATATTCTTCAGTCGGAACTTCGTGATTTCCTTTCACCCGGAAGGATTTCATTCAGGGGTGGCACTCCAACATGGCTATCTCTGCCTTTTTACGCAATCTCTGGGCAATAAGAAAGTGGATCTTTATATTGCTGGCGTTCTTGTTACCATGTCAACTTATTATTACAAGAACAAATGTGAGTACTATATCCAGTATTTATTTTCTATAAAAACAGTGACTTTAGCTCTAAATTAAAATTTTCATATATCATTTAAAACAACAATTCAAAATATTCAATATGTAAAAAAAAACTTCTTCGTAATAATATATGCTTAAAGACAGACCAAAATTTTCAGTATTTGTGATTTTTGAAACCTTTGGCGCCTTCTGCAATTTGTGAAAACTGTATATACATAATACTGACGATTTTCTTAAACTTCAAGACAGATCATGGCCTTAAACAATAACTGATTTCCGTATCCTAACTAAATAAACCTTTACAAAGTCAATACTTTTACGTAACACTTAAATCTTAAGCTTGAGGAATATCTATGGATAGCTCACACTGCCAATACAAAAGCATATTGAATTCTTAAAATAGACTGAGTAAATAATATCACAATAAAAAAAAATTAAATGTTTGCTCCCCCTTGACACGTATCTGGACCACCCCTTGGATTTAAAGGAGGCTGTGTTTGTGCCCTATTCAAATATTTACTAGTATATTGTTTATGGTTTTGTGAATCACTGTTCGTTGTCCTCACCCTTTGTTCTGTGCAGATATCGACCAGGCATCAAGCTAAAAAGTCTATTAAAACAATACAAAAGGGATCACAGCATACACATACCTGTAAAACATCAGAGGCAGGATCAGTTGCCATAAAAGAGTAAACATCATCTGTCGATCGGTCACAACTGCCGGATGCTCTATGATCGAGCAAGAAGAAACATCCGAAGGCAATTCAGTATAGAAAAAAATAACCTTAAAAACGTGTGTTAACTTTCTAGAGTTTATCCTTGAAATTTTCTGTAATTATTTAATGTGTTAGAGCTACTATGGTAGATACAAATAGAATGATTAAACAATTTGTTTCGACAATTCGATGAGGCTAAGAATGTATTTGAAAAATGTCATTCATATGAAAAAAATATGCACTAAAACAAATGATGCATCAACAATACTAAAAGGTATGAATTTCATTATAATCGAATATGAATGACGGGTTATTTTTTTTTATAAGTGGCAGTCTGTTCTTGTTCAGAGAACATTTGTACACTCCAATTCTTGTAAGCTTTGTACACACTGTCAACACTACGCCATGCACTTGATTTATGGAGTGAGGGACATCTAATGAACCACCTTATTCCATTTTCTAGTCTTTGTATGCACTGAAGCAAGGCAAAGAAAATACCTTTTAAAATAAAACTTTAAATGGTTGAGATTCTTACAGTGATAATAGTTTTATGCAATATTCAAACTGGAATCAAGGATGAACTGAAAAGAGAAGGGTTCCACATGAAGAGATTTGTGTCTTTAATAATGAAAAAGTCGCCTCCTGACTTTTAGAAGAATATAAACACGTCAAGAAATCTGAAAGAAAGGAAGTACATGTATGTACAACTTTATGTTGTATGAAAGATTTGTATTGATTGTTAAATTGCTTGTTCAAAATTGCGAGTAGGTGATATCTCGTTCTTGGCTGAATTTGTGATATCATAAATATAACTTTAAGATATCATTTTAATGATATCATTTTCTAAATAGATTGATTGATTTATTGATTGTATGTTGTTTTTACGAAATTTTTCACTCATAAAGAGACTTCACCATATACCGACGAAGTGCTTCAAATTTAGACCTTTACTTGGAACTCAGAGTCATTGAGCAGTGAGGGTTCTTTATGGTGCCAATGCCTACCGTGACACGGGCCCTCAATTTTTAAGGTCTTACCTGAAGGACCCACAACTTTCACTTCAAAGTGCTGAGCGCTTTGCGAAGGAACAGTTCCTAGCTTTTTGTATCGACTTAGTTCAATCGTTAACTTCCAATAATGGATTTGAATGTGTAAAATCAGTAAAATATGGATATAACGAACAGCATAAAGGGTCAATGTCCATTTAAGCAATATAAATTTAGAGCAGAACAAACACATAAAAATGCATCTCAAAAACTTCAGAGATGGAATCAAGTGCAATGGAGGAGAGAACATCCCCTGCCGACCGGTCACACCGGCGGTCACCTCCTTGTAATTATCAGGAAAAGCGAGAGAGAAATAGAACAGTAGACTATTCAGTTTTTAAAATGGCTTAATATTAGTATGATAAATTTCAGTCGGCATTTTATTTAATGATACAGTGCCTGGCGATAAGTGAGTGATAATTTTATTTTTCCACTATATATTTGATTCAAAAATGCATTTTTTCTAAAATACTTTTGCAGTGTTATTTATTGTTCATTTTTTATGACTAAAACACATTTAAATGCAGAATTCTTCGCAGTTTCCTCACATTATTTCAAAATAATTTTATCTGTAGGCTTTGCAGAGATATCACAGGTCAAGTGCGAAATAAAAATTTTAAGACTCTAATTTGTTAAGAAATCATAGTAATTTGAGTAAAGAAATTTTTGTCTCGACAATTTCTTTATTTATTCTCAAAGATTTGTGTATCATTTTGTTTAGCATTTTAAGAGAAGAAAATTTGAACAATTCTACATGATTCAGTGAAAAAGTTGATGAAAATTGATCTAAAATTGACCTAGCAATAAGTTTTTATGAAAAAAAAATTTCAATAAAATATATAGTGTAAAATGCAGTTATGACTCACGTATGGCCATACACTGTAGGTTACCAGGTATTTGCTGACAAGACGAATTTATCGAGAAAAAAAAACGAGAATGTTGATATCTTTGTTTCATGAAATTGTATTTTAATAGCATACCCGGTTATAGAAAGAGTATCTGACGTAAAGCCTGCTCTTGCGTATGTAATCAACTAAATGTCATAAACCCATAAGGCAGGCGATAAGAATGAATATGCTTTACTTACATTATGTAACTAAGAAAAGTTGACGATCAAAATGTTGAAGTCATCACGTTTATCATAAAGTTGTGTTGTTAGGTTACCATTTTCGTATTTTACAAGGAAAATATCAAAATATTTGACAGCTGTGTCAGACAGTATCTTTTATTTCATATTCTTCTTCGCCCTATAACTATAGTCCTGCTGGACACGTTATTACAGGTGACGTAAATATAGTTAATAATAAAGACCTTAGATCACTTATTTTAAAAGGTCCTAAATATAGGGAACCTCGATCCTTCAACTAGCGTCGGAATTTCATAAATATTAGGGATTCTATTGAAGATTACGTTAGAGGATGGGCCAGATATGAAAAAGATGACGTTGACACTTTGCCAGAATGGCTTAAATGTATCAGGTCCATGTTAAAATCGGGTATTAAAAGATTAAGGGGCAATATAAAAACCATCTATCCTTCTGTGTTCATAATCCAGATGTGAAAAAAGAATTAGATAGATTACATGATCAGCACGTACTGGTTCCTGCTGACAAAGCAGGTAACAACATTGTCTTCGTTTGAAAGGCTCATTATATAAATTGTATTTTAGAAGAACTTGGATTTAATTCTACAAGTGGTAGTCCTACATACTCATAGTTCTCTATATAAGTAAGAAATTCTTCAAAATCATGTGTCAGTTTTGAATATTTTTAATATCCCGAAGAACCAAAATGATTTTGAACTACTATCTATAGATTGGATTCCGAAACTTCATAAGAATTCTTACAAACAAAGATACATTGCGGGTTCTAGTAAATGTTCAACCAAGCCTCTTTCTTTACTCCTCACTAAGATTTTGACAGTAATGAAGGAAAAACTTCAAGAGTACTGTGCATCAATATATTCAAGAAGTGGTGTGAATTAGATATTGATACTCAAAAATTCCCCCCAAAAAAACTTTTGGACAATATGAAATCACAAGATTTTACCAAAATCAACAGCTTAGAAACATACGACTTTTTAACCTTATATACAACTATTCCCCACGATAAATTAAAGTCCAGGCTTTGTGATATCATACACAGCTGCTTTTTTAATAAAAATGGAACTCGTAAATTTACTTTTTGGTCATTGGTCATTTGCAAATTGTTTTGTTAAAACACATTCTGATTGCACACACAAGTACTCTAAAGTTGACATCAAAAAGATGCTTGAGTTTCTGATTGACAATATCTGTGTGGTTTTTGGAGACCAGGTCTTCCAACAATCTATTGCAATTCCCATAGGTACCAATTGTGCTCCGTTATTATCAGACCTATTTTTTTTTTTATTCATATGAAGCAGAATTTGTGCAAATCTAATTATTACTGTATGACACCCCCTTTCCAAAATAAATAATTGAATAAATGTTGAATCAACTGTTTTTCAACATATAATCAACGTTGATTATCAATGTTGATTCAATGTTAAGACTTCAACGTTGATACAAATTTTAAAAATCTAACATAAAATCAATGTTGAATCAACATAGATAAACAACGTTGATTCAAAGTTTATTCAATGTTGTGTGCCTGCTGGGTTATGCTGTGAAAAGAAGAAAACACTTGGCTTTCAACTCAAAATTTACATATATCGACGACGAATTGTCAATTAACAATGGTAATTTCCATTTCTGTGCTGATACGATATATCCTAGTGAGCTTGAGATAAAAGATACCACAGGGTCTGACACATCTGTTTCATACTTGGATATTTAACGTGAAAAACACGTTAATGGTAATGTAACAACCAAGGCTCTATGATAAACGTGATGATTTTAACTTTTCTATCGTCAACTTCCATTACTTGTGCAGCGAGATACCTTCATCACCTGCATACAGCGTTTATATATATCTCAGTTGATTCGATACGCAAGAGCATGCTCTACGTGTAAACAATTTCTAAGACGCGGTAAATTATTGACAAACAAGTTGATGAAACAAGAATATCAGCAGTCTCGTTTAAAGTCATCATTTCTTAAGTTCTTTGGTCGATACAATGACCTTGACAGCAAATACAATTTATCATTGAGTCCTGCTGACTGACGTTTTTCATGCTAATTGTTAGTCCATTATTCATGCACTGAATTGACGACGGATGTTTCCGTTATTTTCCGATCATGACAAAGAGCACACGGCGGATGTGATCGGTCGGTAAGGGGTGCTAACTCCTTCATGGCACCTGATCCCACCTCTGATGTTTTAGAGGTCCGTGTTTGCTCTGCTCGTATTTTGTATTGTTTTATGGACTTTGATATTGAATACTGTGCGTTATCTTCATATCCTATATTGAAGCTCACTGCGAGATTTCGAGTCGACAAAATTGAAATAACAATCGTTATTTTACAATTTGTCATCGAGATATATATATGTAAATGTTGAGTTTTAAGGTCATATCAAGTCTTATCTTCTTCGCATGTATTAGTTTTAAAATAAATTCTGTTTCATATGCAAAAATGATAATAACAGGGCGCATTATTAAGGGCTGTAACTGAGTTACGTCAGAAGTATTTTGCTACAAAGCGCTGATAAAGATTTAAGCTATCCCCTATAACCCTTTTGCTATACCTTATATTGCATGCGCACAAGACAGAGTTCTTTCGATGAATAAGCTTTTTTTTGAGAAATGACATTTCAAGGGTAGGACCTTTATTTTTTGTGATACTTAATACTTTAAATGACATGCGATTCTTATGCTAATCACTTAAAAATGTAATAAAATAAATCATGGGTGATCTGTAGAATTTTAAGGAGAGAAAAGAAGATAGCAAACAGTATTTGAGCTCGATTGTCCATTAACAATAATTCTTCCTTTCACGTATTAGATTTTAAAGGAATTCTGCTTCACATGAATTCAAAATTAAGTCTGCTAATACTGGGTGCAATTGGCGCCCATGGAAATTTCAGTGGATTGTTGTAGATCTTGTCCCCCAAAACCAACCACACAGATGTTGTCAATCAGAATTTTTTAAATATTAATTTGGAATTCTTGTGTGTACAATCAGAATGCTTTTTAATAAAATAAAATCAATTTGCAAATAATCAATGGCAGAGTAAGTAAATCAATAAATTCTATTTTTATTCAAAAAGCAGCTGTCAATGATGTCAAAAAGCATGGACTTTAATTTATCAAGGTTAATGTTTGTAGTCGTAAGTTTTATGTTGTTGATTTTGGTAAAATTTTGTGATTTTACATTTTCCAATAGCTCCTTGGAATTTCTAAGTATCCACATCTGATTTACACCTTTTCTTAGATATATCGTTGTACAGTACTCCTGAAGTTTCCTTTTCAGTACTGTTAATATTATAGTAAAGAGTTAAAACGAGGTTGGTAGAATCCACTATGTATCTTTGTATGAGTTTTAATATAATTTTGGAATCCAGTAGAGTAATGGTAACTCGAATTCATTCTGGCTGCTATGAATATTAAGAAATATTTAAAACTGACGTATGATTTTAAAGAATATTCTCGTTAGAAATGGATCTACTGTTTTATGTTGAATTGCCACTTGTAGAATTACTAGTAAATCACAGCTCCTCTAAAATACAATTTTAATAATGAGCCTTACAAAGACAATGTTGTTATCTGCTTTGTCAGTAGGGACCGGTACATACTGATCGTGTAATCTATCCAATTCTTTTTTTAACATTTTAGTTATTCATTTTCTCAATCGCTTAACGCGAAATTTAAAAAAATTAAAAGAACAAAATATTTGAAAAAAGAAAATCAATTTAATATTTTTCCCTTACATATGAAAGGAGAGAACACTTTTTAAAACCATATGACTAATCAATAAACGTATAAAAATTCTTTCTTTTTTTTCTAGATTTGCATGGTAGATGATAAATGCTGTTTTAACACATTGATGTCACGATGTGCTTACGTCATCATTGTCATGGCAATCCTATGGGTAACAGAAGCGCTTCCAATCGCCGCCACTGCCTTTGTGCCTATATTCCTTCTCCCCATGCTGGGTGTACAAAATGGAAGAGATGTCTCCAAAAATTATGTCAATGTAAGTAAATATAATGATGGATAACCAATTTTCTATGAAAACATGGATATTTTTATGCAAGTTACGCATACACTTTTGAATATTTATTAAAAAGAAATACAAAATAAATATATAGTTTGATTTTTGTAATATTTACACACTTGATTTGATTAAACAGTCATGCAGAGGTTAAATATTACGCTAGTATTGAGTTTAAACAGTGGGACTGAACAGACCATAAAATTATCTTCTAGGTTCTTAATCCTGCCCGATTCTTCAATATGTTTTTCAATATGTAACTATATAAATAATAACTGGAATTAATTTTATTTTTGTAATTATATATACAAAGTAGGTATTATTGACACTAAAACTTTATGAGCTGCATTTTTGAAAATTTTAGTTTGCTTTTAAAATGCGTTATTATGATAAATTTGTAAGTAACTAAAACCTTGATGATCAATTAGACCAAAATAAAGCAGAAGAAATACTTTTTTATACAATCAAATATACAGTATTACATAAGAAATCATTATTGTGCAGGATGACAATAATGTAATTTTGATTCAATCAAAGCTTATAAATAAATTTTCTATCGCAAATACGATTAACGGGAGTTTATCAACGTTATTTTTTACTGTCATTGAAATAGTTACTCACAATTTTGCATAAAAAAATCCGACACCAAATTAAGCTCATATTGCTTTAATGCATTCACTCTGAGATATTCAAAGAAATATATTATGGATTTATAAACATAACTCAGAGTAGCTGGACTAACAATAATTCTATTTGTCCCATGTCAGGATACGAGTATTTTATTCCTGGGTGGACTATTTATAGCAGCAGCCATGGAGGATGTTAACCTTCACAGACGTATTGCTGTAGGGGTCATGCGAGTTCTAGGCTCAAGAGTCAACACGTAAGTACTTTCATAATAGCATTATTAAACATACCATAAAGAAATGGTAATGTTTGCTGCTGGTGTCCCAAATAGGCACTAATCATTTAACTTAATATGTTTTTATAATGCACTTATTTCTATAATATAAAAACAATGTCTCTTTATAACTTTTATTTAACCAATGAAAGAATGGTTCACCAAATTAAAAAAAAAACAATTTTAGAAAACGATTTCTACTCTACATCACCTGTATAAAGCGTTTATGTCTTCAAACTTATCTGATATACTTGCACGTTCTATACACAATCAAATGTTAACCCGAAATAAGTTGATGTTACAAGGATTTCAATATGACCTTTGTTCGTTAGGTCATTGATACTAAACTACTGTTGACCTTAGGCCAGAGTACTTTGTCTATATGATATATCCACAGGACGCACAGAACCTTTGACCTTAAAATTGGAGTTTAACCCACTTTAAGAAAACACAAATTATAATCATAACTTTTGAATGGTTTGTGCTTGAATTTTCATTTTACTAGGTATATCCATTGACAAAAGTCCTTTCTTTGGGTAGCAATATTTGTTTCATCTCATGACCTTGGAATAAAGAAAATTACCTTGCATTCGAAAAACCTTAATCTTTCCAAAAAACTGCCATACAGTGTTTCGCAAAAACATGTTTATGCCCCCGTAAACGAGGTTTCGAGGGTATATAGTTTTTGTCGTGTCCGTCCGTCTAGCTGTCTCTCTGTCTGTTTGTCTGTTTGTCCGCAAAAACTTTAACCTTGCCCATAACTTTTGAGTTAGTGTAGCTATGAGTTTCATACTTCACATGTGCATTCCTTGTTACAAGACCTTTCTTTTGATACCATCAAATTTGACCTTTTGACCTAGGAGTTTGACCCATTTTACTCAAAAATTCCAAATGTTTACCTTGGTCATTTCTTTTAAACAGTAGATAGAAGGAGTTTTATAATTCATATATGCATTCTTTGTGGAAAGACCTTTCATTGGATATCAACAACTCTGACCTCTTGACCTTGACCTTGACCTTGAAGATTTCCGTACTTATGAAAAAACTTTAACTTTGGCCATAACTTTTGAACGGTAAGGGCTAGTACTCTCTTACTTCACATATATGATCCTTGTGAGAAGACCATTAATTGGATACAAACTTTTTTATCCCTTTGACCTTAACCTTGAAGTTTGACTTACGTTTAAAAAAAAACATTGACCATAACTTTTAAGGGTTAGGACTAGGTCGTTCTTACTTTTGATATTTAATTCTTGTGACAAGACCTCTCATTGGATATCAAGAATTTTGACCTTAGAGTTTGACCCAGTTTTTTTCAATTTTTAACCATAACTTCTTGAAGGGTTAGAGTTAGGGCTTCCATACTTCACATATGTATTTTTTGCGGCAAGACCTTTCATTGGATATCAAATACCTTGACCCTGGAGATTTCCGTATTTATGAAAAAAATTAACCTTGGCCTACTTTCATATTTCAAATTGTATTTCGAATGAGAAGACCCGACTTTGTGTACCAATTTTAAGAAAAGTTTAATCTTTGTTATGTTGCTATCAGTGTTTCACAAACACATCCTTTTTTAGGTCACCTGAGTAAACTCAGGTGACCTATTGCTATCCGTTTTCGTCCGTCGTCGTGTGTCGTGTGTCGTGTGTCGTGCGTCGTGCGTCGTGTGTTAACATTTGAACATTTTCAGCTTCTTCTCTGAAACCACTGAACCAATTTCAACCAAATTTGGTATACAGCATCTATGGGTGAAGGAGAACAAAAGTTGTGAATTTTATGGTCCCCGCCCCCCTGGGGCCTGAGGGGTGGGGCCAAAACCACTAAAATTATTGCAATCTTTAAAAATCTTCTTCTTTACTCCTGGACATCAAGCAGGCAAACTGTTGGCATGAATGTAATGAGCATTGAGTCCTCTACTTAAATTGTGAAATTCATGGCCCCAGGGTCAGGGGTTCTAGTGCTAGGGCGGGGCTATATAGATTATATAGTGAAAATGCATGATTTCTTTGAAAATCTTCTTCTCTGCTCCTTGGTATTAAATAAACTAACCAAGCACATAGTTATGATGAGCAAGAGTGCCTCTTCCAAAATTGTGAATTTTATGACCCCAGGGTCAGGGGTTCTGGTATTAGGGCGGGGCTCTATTGGTTATATAGTGAAAATGCATTTATTCTTTGAAAATCTTCTTCTCTACTTCTTGGTATTAAATAAACTAACTAAGCACATAGTTATGATGAGCAAGAGTGCCTCTTCCAAAATTGTGAATTTTATGACCCCAGGGTCAGGGGTTCTGGTGTTAGGGCAGGGCTCTATTGGTTATATAGTGAAAATGCATTTATTCTTTGAAAATCTTCTTCTCTACTTCTGGGTATTATATAAACTAACTAAGTACATAGTTATGATGAGCAAGAGTGCCTCTTCCAAAGTTGTGAATTTTGTGGCCCGAGGGTCATGGGTTCTGGTGTTAGGGCGGGGCTCTATTGATTACATAGTGAAAATACATTAATTCTTTGAAAATCTTTCCTTTGCTCCTGGGTTTTATGTCAATGATTCAAATATATATATATTCATGATGAAGAAAGGTGCACCTAGCATAATGGTTATTTTTTATGCCCCCCCCCCGCCCCTTCCCTGGGTCGGGGATAAAGGGGGGGTGTACAAAGTCTGAAAATAAATTAATGCTTTGAAATCTGCTCTTTGGTGTTAATCAACCATTTTATGATAAAATTTGCAAAAATTTGAAATATGTGGGCCCAGGATCAGTGGTTCCTTTGGGATGATGTGCACAACTGGTTATAAAGTGGAAGTGCATTTTCTCTTAATTTTACTCTGATCTACCTCTGGGTATTAAGTAAATAGAGTAAGCATGCTAAGTCTATAATTATTATAAGCAATGGTACCTCTTTCAAAATTGTGAATTGCGAATTTCATGGCCTCTGGTTTAAAACACGAACCAAATTTAATTGTTTGAAAGTTGTTGCACAATACTCAGGTGACCTATAAGGCCCGTGGGCCTCTTGTTCAAATAATACAGGAATTTTTCGGTATCATGAATTTAACTGGACTGAAAAAAATCCTAGCTACTAAATGACTTGAAATATTTAGGTTTAATTAAATAGACAAAAAAGAAAGTGGCTATAGAACTTCCTAATAATGTCACCCATGTAGATGCATATAAATATATGACACTTATTTGAGATACTGAAATACATGTACAACTGCATACTAGTAGTAAAAATCCAGCTGATACCATTAAAGTAGGTTGATGAGAAAAACAAACCATCCATCCTCGGATATTTTGCTTTAAAAAATTCTACAGTGTAATTTCGTCGTCCGTATTGATCATACTTTATAGATCTTTGGACCAAAGTTCCCTTTTGTTGTCTGTTTTCAGTTTGTTTTTTGGACTGTTTGAAGTCATTTTTTTTAATCAATTTCAGGTTGATGCTGGGTCTGATGCTCCCTACCTGGTTCCTGTCTATGTGGATCAGCAACACGGCGGCCACCTCCATGATGTTACCAATACTGATGGCCATCACGGAGCAGATGGAAAAACTGGAAAAGATACAGCAAGGTACTTTGTGTTTGACGTAAGTGGGCTGGGGGCTATTAAAAATGACATGGGAGGCCTAATTTAATTTAAATCTATTAGTCTACATTCTTAAAATCTACATTTACAATTTTTTTCACCATGAAATAGAAATATAATGAAATACTGTCTAGTTAGTAGAGTATGCCAGGGATATCGCAATAGTTGGAAACGTTAGAGATTTCTCCCGTTATGCAAATGATCCCACGTTTTTAACTACAGTGAAATCACAAATTTTCGTTAAGGAGTTAATTTTCGTTGTTTTTGAGGTATGAAAAAACCCATGAATTTATATCCAACACGAAATATAAAATGTAACATACATTACTATTCAACAATTCTTCATCCACGAAATCAAGTCCCCTTGAACCAAGAGTTTTTCTTTAAGCCACGAAAATTTGACCCCATGAAAATATGTGATTTTACACTATCGTTGATGCCCTGGCAAACTCCACTAACAAGACAACGATTCCTTAAATATGTTCACAGTTGACCCTGAGGACACTGCCGACAAGAACGGAGTCGTCATGGTGGATAATGTTATTCTGGAGATAGAAGAGAAATCTGAAGTCGGGTTTGTGCGGAAATAATGAGAAATAACAGAATAATTAACGTACAAGATACTATTGAAACGGGTGATTTTACAAAATTGAAGATTGTAGGGTTGCTTTTTTCATAGTTCTGTTTCCATTATGGGACTTTCATCATGGTTCCTTTTGAATTGATGATTAAGTGTACTCTTCATTCTTTACTTAAGGACTGTTAGCTGCATGAATTACATGAGGGCTAAAAAGTTCTTACATATCTTTCAGAGTCTCATAAATTTTCTTCTAGACAGACAAATGATTTTTCAAAGGCGACAACTATTTACTGGTATATGGTCTTTATTATAGAGAGCCAAATGACGATTTGAAGTGGATGTCTAAAGGTTTCGCTCTTTGTGTGGCTTACGGGGCAAACATTGGAGGGATAGCGACCCTGACTGGGACGCCGCCCAACTTAGTGCTTCAGGGTCAGGCAGACATGTCAGTATCCCTATTTTGTTCTTGATTATCATTATCATAATTAATGGTGCAACAACTCTCATTCATATTTACTTGAGTAGTAAGTGATTGAATCGCTAAAGTTTCCTGATTACCAAAATTCTAACGAATTGATAGTAAATGAAGAAATCAGGAGAAATAAGATGATGAACATTATAAATAAGAATCTGTTTTGTTTCTTCCATATTTTATGCAATTTTTAAGCAAATTTGCCCCAAAATAAGTAATTTATATAAAAAAGATTTATGATAACGAATAAGAAAGAAATATATATCATTACAACTGAATCATGCGTAAAGTTATAAAAAAAAAAGATCCTCATAATGATTTATTCTTTTCAGTTTTTATGCTAAGTATGGTGAGGCAGGCTCCGGAATAACCTATGTAAACTGGATGGGACTAGCCCTGCCTATGTCTGTAATGTTACTAATCCTGGCCTGGCTATATCTGCAAATTGTATTCCTCCGTGGAAAGTTGGTGTTCATTGCAATTTCTGTTTTTTATTATTATTAAAATGATGAGTTATTAGAAAAAAATAGTACTAGTATGCAATAGTAAAGTAAAAATCCTTTTGATTGCTTTATAGGTGCTTTGAAAGAACAGATAAGATTAGGAAGAAAGCCATACAAACAGCGGTACTGAAAGAATGGAAAGACCTCGGCAAAATGAAGTGAGTACATGAAAAAAAAATATTGTCAGAAAAAATAAAAACAAGGTCTTTATATAAGTTTTTTTTCCCAATACGTGTATAAAATATGGCAAGTTCATGACTTCAGATTCGCAGAGATTGAGGTCTTTATCCTCTTTTGTGTGCTGGCGTTGCTTTGGGTATTTAGGAGTTTACCGGATGTAGGAGGATGGGGAGACCTATTTATGGATGTCAGTACCGGGTAAATATGTTAATTTTTATGTGCACCGAAAATATAAAGCAACAACATATATTTGTAGATTCCAATGTTTTGTTTTTATCGTTAACCATATTCAATGAAATATATGGAGATAACAAACAGAATTCAATCTCAAAAATCCATTAAACAATACAAAATTGGAGCAGTGCAAACACTGAGCTCAAAATCATCAGATGTAGGACCAGGTGCCATGAAGCATTGAACACCCCCTGCTCACCGGTCACACCCGCCGTTTGTTCCTTGTCATTCATGATATCGGATGCTAGATGAAGTTAAAAATCATCGCAAACTGTCTTTATGTTGTATGATTTGTAATAAAAAAAAGACATAAAGGCCAATCATTTGATAAATAGAAACACTTTTTGCAGGAAAACATCGACAGCACGTGATTCTACAGCGGCCATCTTTGTAGCATGTCTTCTGTTCATTCTTCCAAGAGAAAAACCAAACGTTTTCTGTCTTTTCAAAAAGTCTGGTTTGGATGTTTTTATTTTAGTTCAGTTTTAATCTCAATGTCATTTCTTTTTCATTTAACTATGAATGAGCAAACTTGATAATTTTCTTACAATTTTTCTTGGTATTTTTTTCCTTAAAAAAGAAAACTTTTATTTGATGTTCATTAATGATCTGTGTACGGTTCGACTGGTAACATTTGAATCTAGTATGAATTAATATTATTTTCATCATTACAATCATGATTCATTTAATCTCTATATGGAGTGTGGTTTTTTGTGATACCTTGATTACGCTTTAATCATGATTGGGGTCTTATGTCATTTTTAATGCAACATAAAGAATACTCTCGCTCATAGAAAATTCACCATCTTGTACATTCAACCCCTTCATAGGTTTTATGATTGTTTATATAACCGCATCATCTGCCTTTTTAGAAAAAAATCAAAAACCTGGATATAGACCTATCCTGACGTGGAGTGCAGCTCAAAGTAAAGTGTCTTGGGGTGTGATCTTCCTCCTGGGTGGAGGGTTCGCTCTGGCCAACGCAGCCTCGGTATGTGTTTATATAACAAAGGGTGCAGTATCGCAATTATTTTAGAGGAAAGTTTAAAATAAAATTTTTATACGTTCCTTTCTTGTCCTCGAAAATCGGGCATGTCACTTTTTGCTGAACTTTTATAAACCTCCTAATAACGCTTCGAGTAAAAATTGTTGAGCCTTTTTATTCATTTGGTAGCTTATTACAAGGGTAGTATAATAACATTGAACTAGGTAAATTTGAGCAAAGGAACAGCTAATTGAATTCTGTCTAATTCACAACCATTAAAGGAAAACAGAGGTTATGTCATAGTTATGAACTTATTTCGTCCTAACAGTCTGGAAGTGTAGAAATTGTGACCGGTGTCGCATAATATTTGGTCCGCCTCGTTTAAAGGTCCGGCCGGACCTAATACGATAACATATTAGGTCCGCCTGGCTCTATAAGAAAAGGTCCGCCCTTTGCCTATTATACAAATTGTATGCCTGTGTTCATTCGATATTAATTGAAAAACTATTATTTTAAAATTAATTGAGGATATAAAGTCGTATTAATAGCTAGTATTTCCTCCAAGAGAATGTAGTAAACAATAAGTAAGAAATTAATACATAAATAATTTATTTATTAAAGAAATGTATAGATTTATTGATCGAGTTTCCTGTCGGGAAGATGAGACATGCTTTATTTTGTCGTTTAAATACACTGGTGTCAACATTATCATTTAAAAAATATTAAGAATACAAATGTACACACATTTACCTTCACCACCTGTTTACTGGCAGATTAATCGGTAGGCAATGAATAGATGAATGTTCGTAAGTCCAATACGGATCATTTAGTTACACTCTCTTTCGAATAAAGATGATAAACGTCCGACTTCCACTCGCAAAAAAAAAAAAATCACATCTTTCAAAATATATTTCTTTATAGTATTAATAAAAAAATCTGTCATTCTTAACGTTTAACATTGTCAATAACTGGAGGGTCACCCTGACGGTGTGTTCCCCGAATGTTTGAATAAAACAACAAGTAATTATCACACTCAATTAAGGGGCCCTCTAAGGGGTACAGGTAGACTTACCTGTGTTTACCTGGATAAGCAATATTTTGTAAATCAAATATATTCATTCAATTATATTTTAATTCAGAGGGTTTTCTATTTTCCAAAATATACTGAATAAAAATATATATAAATATAAGTAGATAAAATTAAGATTTAAGAAATTTTTATTGTACCTTTAATATAGTTTTTTCCCCAAATTATTTATAGTATTGATTGAGAACTTAAAAATTATTATCCCTTTTTGTGCTACATTTTCAAACTCTTTTAGATAAATTAACACAATTTTTTTAAAAATAATATACCGGTAGATATATATGTATGATAAATAAAGTGTTTCTACAAAGTTTTGTTTAATTTATTTTATTTATCTATCATTTTGAATTATCAAAACATTCTATTAAATAATCATAAAATCCAGATGAAGTTTATGAACTTCTTCACCTTTCATACCAATCCTTTAGTTGCAAAGAAATATACGGAGATGGATTAAATTATAACTTGTAAATATGTGTTATATGAAAGTGAAACAGTGTTATCACATATATAATGTGAAAATCAGTGCTGCTAATCAATAAAACTTCAAGATAATTTATAGTTTTTAATATGATTTGTGCTTGAAAAATTATTTATTTAAAAAATATGTATACAAAATATTTATATAGTGCTCAAATTAAAATAAAATGAGATGAATTTCCGTTTTATTTTGTTTCAATTATGGTAGATTATTCATACCGGTAAGTCTACTTGTACCCCTTAGAAGGCCCCTTAATTGAGTGTGATAATTACTTGTTGTTTTATTCCAGTAGCCATTCGGGGAATAAACCACTCTGACGGGGGGCTTATGTCACGGTGTACTACCCTACACCCGTTATTGTAAAAACAACATGCTGCGGATTGGGCAGTTGGGGGTTAGCCTATAATTGTCTCGTTTGAGAAAACCTAAAGTACCATATCCCCTGTGTTTTTATAAGTTAACACTGTTTCTTACCTATTCAAAAGCTAATAATTATATCTACTAGAACTCTGCATTTCATTTCCTGAATTTTGCATTGGATTTTCCGACAATTTTTGTTATTATTTCGGAATCCGACTTTCATTTCCGACATTGTTTATTAATTTTTTTTCACATTTTTGGATTTTTTTTAAAAAGAAACCTTTATGGCACTTTAAAGTTAGTATATATAACAAAGATGGAAATAGATTTTTAACAGGATATTGTATATATGTATTATATTATATTAATTTTTAAAGGAAGTATGATTTTTTTTTTCATTGCCGAAAAAATAATGACATGAATTTGACAAATGTCAGAGGTGAAAACTTTTAAAATGTAAAAACTGTCGGAAATGAAAAGTTCAATATATATATATATTTTTTTTTGGGGGGGGGATTCCGGAAATGAAATACGGCCTACTAAATATTACTCCAGGACAAGGTAAATGTGCATTAATTGGCGAAATCAAATTAAACCAAAGTCGATAAATTGCTGGATTTATAAATGCCTTTATCATTCATATTTAATATACATGTCGCTCATATGAAATCTCTGTGCATTAATAATATAATCATACTTATGTCTCTCGGTTTCAATAAAAAATCCGAACATTTTATACGCCCCTCCTAAATGTTTTTTTGGCGGGGGGGGGGGGGGGGAGTAATGGGGCGTAGTAAAATCACGCGGATACGTGCCAAAAAGTTTAAAGTATTAAAGAATACCGGTATTGTACATATATATCCCACATTTTTTTCCCCAGAAAAAAGAACTGAAGTTTAAAGACACACCCCAGTTTCAGAAGCTTGGCATACTAGAATTTCCCGTTAGCATCTAACTAACAATCCCGACTTGATTTTTCACCAGAGAAATACTGCTTCAGTACAGATTTTTTTTTCTCCCTTTCCACTGTTTTACTAGCTATAGTGAGAATTTTTTCAAACAATACATATTAAAGAGAAACTTGACACGCATCATTTTTTTAATAAATTAAATAGAAATACTAGTAGTCTTTTAATATCATGACGTATCAAAAACTTCGTTGTAGCTAGTTTTTAAGCTAGGAAAATAAACCCTGTCCAAAAATTTTCCTTTATGACATGAAGATATGTGAAATACAGGGGGCGGACCTTTTCTGATAACTGAGTTTTAAGGTCCGCCCTGTCTCTTTCTCTAGTTTTTTAAGCTACGAAAATAAACCCTGTCCAAAAATTTCCCTTTAAAACATAAAGATATCTGAAATACAGAGGGCGGACCTTTTCTGATAACTGAGTTTTAAGGTCCGCCCTGTCCCTTTCTCTAGTTTTTAAGCTAGGAAAATAAACCCTGTCCAAAAATTTTCCTTTATGACATGAAGATATGTGAAATACAGAGGGCGGACCTTTTCTGATAACTGAGTTTTAAGGTCCGCCCTGTCCCTTTCTCTAGTTTTTAAGCTAGGAAAATAAACCCTGTCCAAAAATTTCCCTTTAAAACATACAGATATCTTAAATAAAGAGGGCGGACCTTTTCCGATAACTGAGTTTTAAGGTCCGCCCTGTCCCTTTCTCTAGTTTTTTAAGCTACGAAAATAAACCCTGTCCAAAAATTTCCCTTTAAAACATGAAGATATCTGACATACAGAGGGAGGACCTTTTCTGATAACTGCGTTTCAAGGTCCGCCCTGTCTCTTTTTCTAGTTTTTAAGCTACGAAAATAAATCCTGTCCAAAAATTTTCCATAATGACATGAAGATATATGAAATACAGAGGGCGGACCTTTTCTGATAACTGAGTTTTAAGGTCCGCCCTGTCCCTTTCTCTAGTTTTTAAGCTAGGAAAATAAACCCTGTCCAAAAATTTCCCTTTAAAACATACAGATATCTTAAATAAAGAGGGCGGACCTTTTCCGATAACTGAGTTTTAAGGTCCGCCCTGTCCCTTTCTCTAGTTTTTTAAGCTACGAAAATAAACCCTGTCCAAAAATTTCCCTTTAAAACATGAAGATATCTGACATACAGAGGGCGGACCTTTTCTGATAACTGAGTTTCAAGGTCCGCCCTGTCTCTTTTTCTAGTTTTTAAGCTACGAAAATAAATCCTGTCCAAAAATTTTCCATAATGACATGAAGATATCTGAAATACAGAGGGCGGACCTTTTCTGATAACTGAGATTTAAGGTCCGCCCTGTCTCTTTCCCTAGTTTTTAAGCTACAAAAATAAACACTGTCCAAAAATTTCTCTTTATGACATGAATATATGTGAAATACAGAGGGAGGACCTTTTCTGATAACTGAGTTTTAAGGTCCGCCCTGTACTTCATACACAGCATATGTCAAGAGATGCAATGCTGGATCCAACTGTCTACACATGTATGCTTTATTTTTTTTCTTCTTTTTTTTTTGAGCATATGGACGAGAACTTATAAAAACTTTTTCCCTCAGGCTTATCCTTTTCATACAGGCGTGAGATAAATAATACTTGATATCGCGATTACTTAACTTAGCGGAACTCTCTCGCGATGGAGGTACTAGGAAACGTCTGTTGGCTGGGGGCAAATGTGCTATTTAATACAATGCAAGAACGATCAATGTAGAATTTATAAGGACAAATAAGTAAAAAATCCTGGTGAAATGTCTTGCTAAACAATCGCTGAACCAGCCTAATAAATTTTTGAGAGGAGCCAATCCTTATTTGTTACATTTTTAACGATATTTTTAACGAAGCGGACTCTTCTCGTTAAATTTTCATTGAAATTTGTCATATTTTTAAGAAGATAAAATATTCTAAACTTGCCTTATTTGACAATCTACTATTTGGCGTTCAATATCTGGCAAAACATTGTGCTTTCGACCTTAAATTGTTAGAATCATTCGATTGTCACTACTGTAAACAATGCCATGTGCCCCAGAAATTTAGACCTTTCTCGACTCCCCCGCTAAAGAGCGGTAGTAAGTTAGATAACTGTGAGGTACTTATTGGTA